AGGAGGAGGAGGAGGCGGCAGTTCCCGGGCCCGGGATGAGCGCTGGCATGTATTATCTGAGCGGAGCTGATGTCTCTCAACGCTTTAGCTCTAGAATTACTCTGAGGCCCGGGAAGGCCCCGCTGGCCGTGGCAGTGGAGCTTTTGGCGGCTGTGGGATGGAGTGGCCGTGGCAGAGTGTGAGGCAGCTTGAGGAGAGGGGGCCCAGGGTGGGCTGTGGCCCATTGCCAGGTGGGGCAGGTGCAGCTGTGGGCTGAGGCGTGGGGTTTGTGGGCAGGAGGGGCTGTGGCGTGGCCCGAATTGCACGCTGTGGGAGTTGGTGGCCAGGTGCATGTGGCAATGTTGCCTGCTTGGGGTGTCCCTGAGCCCCCGGGTGCTGTCAGAGCTGTGCAGGTTGTGCGGGTGCAGCTGGGCTGCTGCAGCTGCAGCTGGGAGTGTGCAGGAGGGAAGTGGCTCCTCTGCTCAGCCTGGCCCTAAAGCTGGAATGTTTTGTGCTTCTCCCAGGTTGCTCCGCTTGAGCTTGGGACCTCGTGGCCAGCCCAGAGTGGAGATCCAGACACAACACCAGATCCTGGCTGGGGCTGGGGGTGGATCCAGCTGCTTCCAGCCTCCTCTCAGCGTTTGGAAAGCCGGGACATCCTTCCTGCACCCCGTGACACAACTGAAGGGGCTTCCCCATGAACCTTGTGAACATCTTCCTGGGGAGCTGGGAATGCCCAGCACAGGCTGTGATCCACTCCTGGGGAGCTGGGAATGCACAGCACAGGCTGTCACCCATCCTGGGGAGCTGGGAATGCCCAGCACAGGCTGTGATCCTCTCCTGAGGAGCTTGGAATGCACAGCACAGGCTGTGATCCCATCCTGGGGAGCTGGGAATGCACAGCACAGGCTGTGATCCCATCCTGGGGAGCTGGGAATGCCCAGCACAGGCTGTGATCCCATCCTGGGGAGCTGCTGAGTTCCTGGGGCAGAACTGGATTTTGCTCTAGGGACAAGCTCCCATCCCACTGATCCTGGGAGCTCTTGGATTCACCCTGCACCCCTGGCAAGCTTTCCCTCGCAGGCCCCACTGAATTTTGGCTGTTTGTGTTTCATGTGCACTCCACCCGCACTTTGGGATCCACCTGCAGCCTCAGGAGCTCTGGGGTGCCCCAGCTTGTGCTGGGGACGCCAGGAAGGCAGAGGGCACTTGGGGAAGGTTCCCCCAGTGAGAAATGGGGAACAGGAGCTGGTGTGGCTGTGCCCAGAAAGCTGGGAGGGGTCTTGGGAGAAGGGTGATGGTACAAGAGACCAGCAGAACCCTTCCAGGGAGGAAACAGTTTGGACATTCCTTGGGGAAGCTGGGCCCTGGCAGCAGGTGCAGGGGGTGAAGGAAGCAGATGGAGCTGCTCTTTTATGGGTCCTGCTGCCTGGGATCTCCCCACGGCCATCCCATGGGATTAGCGCTGTGGAACAACGGCTGGGGAGGGGGATCAGGGCCAGCGCCGCTCCTCTGGGCTGCCCTTGTCCCCCTCCTGGGGCAGGATTAGGATTTGGAAGGGATGTGGAGCCCCAGCTGGGGGCCTGGCTCAGCTGGGAATTGCAGTGCAGGTGTTTCACTGCCTTTGGTCAGGCTTGGAGTCTCCTCCTCTTGCTGCACGGCTCCTGCTCCTCCAGCTCCTGCCTGGCCGCCTCCTGCCCCTCCCTGTGCCTTGGCAGCTGCTCCTCTGCCTTTCAGCACTGGAATTTCAGTTCTGCCTTTCCCAGCAATGGGCTGGGAAACCTGGCATGTCCCCTGCCCTGTCCTGGACACCCTCACGGCATCCCTGAGGGATCTGGGGGAGATTTGGAGGATCCTGGGGGGTGATTTCAGTGGAATTTTGGGGGTTCAGGGGAAATTTGGAGGGTCCTGGGTGAGTTTCAGAGGGTTTGGGGGGCTCCCACGTTTGAGATCCTCAATCTTGCGCCCCTCACCTTGGGTTTGAGCCTCTCAAACCGGAGTTTGGGATCCTCAGGGTTGGAAGTCGTGTTGTGCCCGAGGGCTCAATCCCTGGCTGGCAGTTTCCACCCCAAACCGAGGGATTTCTTATTTTCCAGTCCAGTTTCTCAGGGAGGAGCTGGGTTTGTCTGAAAGGCCGATCCCAGTCCTGACCAGCAGGACTGCTGCTGGTTTGGAGTCAGGGGTCAGTGTCTCAGTGATCCCAAACCCCGTTTTGTTGGTTATAAAGTGGCTGGGTTTGCACTCAGTGATGAATTTTGGGGGGTGGCACCCCGATAAAAGTGGGGAATGTGAGGGATGTGAATTTATTTGGGGGTACAGAGGGAAAAGGTGTGCGGAGGGACCCCAGGGTGGGTTTTGGGATCTTGCTTGGGTGAGGGAAGGGATTGGAGGGAGCCCAGGTTGAATTTGGGGTCTTGGGGTGGGTTTTGGCACCACCTGGCAGCTGGAAGGAGCCAGGCCAGATTGGGGGTCCTGCTCACTGGGGGAGGAGGGGGCTTTGGGGAGGGTTCCTCCTGAATGGGGGTGTGATAACTGTAATTTTTCTCTAAAAAATCCTTTTTTCTCTTTCTCTGACTCTGCTGCATTTCTTCTGTATTTTTCTTTCTCTTTCTGCTTTTCTCAGCCTCCTTTGGACTGAATTCTTTTGGGATCCTCCCTGATGGGGAGCCCTGCTTATCTCAGTTCTTATAAATTGAAGAAAACTCCTGAGAATCTTGTTTCTCGTGTTTATTAAAGGTCATCACAAAACTTAACAGGTCTCTCCAGGCTGGCTACACAAGGTTAATCTTCGCAATCTGGTACATTTCTTTTCTTCTGATGGTACAACAAGGCCTTGTGGCACACTTCGTGTCTGATGAACAAAATGGCCCCGAAATACGCAGTTCTTTTATCTTTATACCTATTTTTACCCAATTAACAATAGACATGGGGGGACACGCTGGGAACGGAGGGTGGATGGAGCCCATCAGCCAGATGTTTACCCAGGGCAGCATCTGGTTCTCCAGCAGGTTGGGAAGGACACTGGGGACATTAAGGGGTCACCTTGGAGGTGAGAGGGGATGAGGGACACCATGAGGACACAGGGTGACATGGTGGCAGGAGACATTCGGGCCAGGGATTTGTTCTTCAAGAGCCTAAGAGGAACATCAGGGACATCTGGGGGTCACCATGGGGGGTGGGGCACACAGCAGGACATCGGGGATGGAAGGTGGGGGAGGGGGGTGGGTCACCATGGAGGAACACACTGAAGGAACACGGGGACATGGAGGGCATGGTGGTGATGGTGGTGATGATGGTGGTGGTGTAATGATGGTGATGTGGTTGGGTGATGAAGATGGTGGTGGTGATGATGATGGTGGGGGGGTAATGATGGTGATGTGGTTGGGTGATGAAGATGGTGGTGGTGATGATGATGGTGTGATGATGAAATGCTGATGCTGCTGGTGAAGATGGTGATGGTGCCGATGGTGTTGGGTGATGATAATGGAAATGATGGAGTTCACTCTGGTGTTGATGATGAAGACCAAGGTGTGGCTGATCGTAATGATGATGACGGAGATGGTGATGGTCATGATGATGATGATGATGGTGTACGTGTCACCCTGATGGTGTTGGTTGTGTCGGAGTTGACTGGTGATGATGGTGTTAGTGATGAAGATGAAGGTGTGGGTGATGAAGATGAAGGTGTGGGTGGTGTGGTGGTAACAGTGTTGACGGTGGTGTGTAATGCTGACAGTGTTTGATGGTGTTGAGTGGTGTTGCTGGTGAACACGGTGTGGGTGATGAAGACAAAGGTGTCAATGAGGAAGATGATGGTGTGGACAATGAAGATGGTGATGACAAAGGTGACGGTGATGATGGTATTGATGATGAATGTGAAGGTGTAGGTGATGAAGATGAAGGTGTCAGTGAGGAAGATGATGGTGTGGGTGATGAAGATGGTGATGACAAAGGTGACGGCGATGATATTGATGGAATGTGATGGTGTGGGTGATGAAGATGACAAAGGTGATGATGGTGTTACCGGTGTCATGGTGACGGTGTCAGTGGTGTTGGATGATGAGGATATTGGTGATGGAGTTCACCATAGCGTGGATGATGTGAAGATGTGTTGTTGATTATGATTGTAATGATTGATGATGATGGTTGTATGGATGATGATGATGATGGTGTGAGTTGTGTCACAGTGATGGCATCAATGGTGTGGGTGATGAAGGTGATGATGATGATGCTGTTGGTGTTGTGGTGACGATGGAATTTGATGGTGTTGGGTGATGATGCTGGAGTTGTGGGTGATGAAGATGACGATGTGGTGGATGAGGTTGATGGTGGGTGCTTCTGGTGATGAAGAAGATGGTGGTGACGAAGGTCACTACCTGTTGAGGGCATTTCACATCTCAATGGGGACCAGCACTCAGTGCCATCAGCACTGGAGCCTCAAAGATGTCACAGTCCAGACCCTCAAAGACCACGTTGTGCTCTGGGACCTGCACGAAGTAGAGCTGGGGGTCACCAGGGGGTCACTGGGACACTTAAGGGACACCGGGGGGACTCCTGGGGGTCACTGGGACACTTAAGGGACACCAGGGGGACTCCTGGGGGTCATTGGGACACTTAAGGGACACTGTGGGGGACACCAGGGGGTCACTGGGACACTTAAGGGACACCTGGGGGACACCAGGGGGGTCTCCTGGGGGTCACTGGGACACTTAAGGGACACCTGGGGGACACCAGGGGGGTCTCCTGGGGGTCATTGGGACACTTAAGGGACACCAGGGGGGTCACCAGGGGGTCACTGGGACACTTAAGGGACACCGTGGGGGACACCAGGGGGTCACTGGGACACTTAAGGGACACCTGGGGGACACCTGGGGGGTCTCCTGGGGGCTGGGGAGGCTCCGCTGCTGTTGGGATTAAGGAGCAGCCCCAGCCCGTCCCAAACAATGTCACCACAGGAGGACTTTGCCATGGGCCAGGCACAGGATGGAGCACCCCAAGATAAGATCCAGGTGGGACAATTGTCCAGGGCTTATCTCGGACCTCGGGGGAGGTAAACAAAGCTGGGGGAGCAGAATGCGTCCCTGCTGGTGGGCAAGGACATGCAGCCCAGCAGCCGTGCTGCAATCAGCTCCGGCGGGCTCCAAGGGAAGCCCAGAGGGGCAGATGGTGACCACCGGCTCACGGCCACCGAGCCCGGGAAGCTCCAGCTGGAGAGAAGAGCCAGCCTGGGCCGGGACTGATCAGCAGCCGAGGCCAGGGGATCGTTCAGCCGATGGCATTCCAGAGCTGGGCAGCCCACGAGCACGGATTGCTCGCTTTGCTCAGATGGATAAACGGGGCAAAGTCCGCAATGAGCTCAGCACCCCCCAGCACCGAGAAGCTCCGGGGGAAGAAGGAGCAGCCGGACACTGCTGGGTCCAGGGGCGGTGTGGAGCTTCTGCCCGATCTCCCTCCCTCCCTCCCTGCCCCTCTCTTCCTGCCCGTCTCTCTTGCTCTCGCTCCCATTTTCCCCTTCGCTAAATTCTGCGCTCTCGCCTTTGGCACATGGTCCCCTTTGGCCCTGAACTGGGGCACGGGCACCTCCAGAGTGGGATCGGAACAGCCGGGGATCCTTCAAGGGACATTAACCCCCTCCCTGCCGGCAGCCACGAGCCCAGCAGTGCTGATCCTCGGGCAGGGAAGCGCTGTCGCTCGCAGGCGGAGCAGAGGAGCCGGGGCTCCAGGCTCCTGGCCGGGATCCGCTCCCGGCCCGAGCCCAGCCTGGGCTCCCTGGGGCTCCCAGAGCCCCGGGCAGAACCTGTTTCCCTCTGCACCCCAAAGCTCGGCGGCTCCGGACGCTGCTCTGGGGGCCCCTCATCCCCCCCAGCTCTGGGGACGTTCCAGGGGGTCCCAAGCTGCCCTGGCCAGGACACAGGAGGATGAAGGGGGGGCAGGGAGCCCTGCGTGTCCCTGGGGTCTCTGGGCTGATGGTGGGGCAGGGACTGGAGACGGCCAGGGTTGAGAGAGGGACAAGGAACACACACGGGGACATGGGGACACACATGGGGACATGGGGACACACACAGGGACACACACGGGGACATGGGGACACACACGGGGACATGGGGACACACACAGGGACAT